GCCTACTTTTCACCTTGCTGCCCTGGGCACTACTTGCGGCAGGTGTCCCTCCCCCCCCCCCTGTAAATGTATTTCCACCGATCCTCCCGTCCGTGTCTCCCCTGGCTTCTGCGCCATCCGTCTCTGTTTCTTCTTGCTCGCACAACAAGGGGGTCCTCTCTCTCTCTCTCTCTCTCTCTCTCTCTCTTTCTTTCTCTCTCCCCTCTCTCGCATGCACGCGCGGGCACGGCTACAGATGCCCTCCGGCCGCGCCGCCGATCTGCTATACCAGCACCAGATACTCAAGTGCCAACCAATCCTCGATGTTCCATGCGCGCACCGAGGATCCACCTCGTTTGCGCGATGGGGGTGCAGGGGGGGGGGGGGGGGGAGCGTGTTTCGGCAGATCTGAACGCTGGGGCCTCCTTCGGAGGCCTACCCGAGAGGCATGGGGCTCGGGGCCGGGACCAAGTTCCAGCACCGTGCCGGTCATCCGCACTTCTCCTCCTCTCTCCCCATTCCCCGCCCTTTCTTTGCCTGGTTGCCCTCGCCGCGTTCCGCGATCTCTCTCTTCCTTCCCCCCCGACCTGGAACCCGCACCGCTGCTGTCACACACACACACACACACAGCATGAGCCAGTTGCCATCCTCGCCGGATGACACTCGCCTGACCAGCCCGCCGGTCAACAGTCAAGGTGCGTCTCCTGGAGCCTGTTTGATTGCCTCACTCGCCTCACCTGCCACACACACACACACACACACACACACACACGCGCACACGCGGCACGCTTCATGGGGACTCACTGTTGACCCGGTTCGCAGTTTTCTATGCCACCCTGGCGAGCATCCCACCGGCCCCCACGCGCTCGGCCGCGTCCGATCTGTCAATCGCGGCTACCGGATCCGACACGGCCTTCGAACAGCGCGCCCTCAACCGATACATCATGTTGGACAATATTTCTCGATCCGAGCGCATCGGGCATGGGCTGCGCGCCGAAGTCGAGGCATCCGGGGCGGAGACCTTCGCCGAGCGGCGTCAGGCCGGCCGGCGTCTCCGCCGCCGCGCGGCCATCGTCTCGGCCAAGCGCGCTCGCGCCGAGGGGTGGTTCAGCGTCAGCCCCCGTGGCGACGCGGCTGCCTTTGCGCGGATCGTGGCACTCCACAGCCTCTGGCAGGACTACATGCGTGCAGTGTTGTTGAATGACTCGAAGTGCGCCTTCCCCGCCCCCCCCCCCTCCCCTCTCCGCCCGGTCTACCTCTTGATGTCTCGTCGGCGGCCCCTGGCACTGACTCCCCCCTCCTCCCCTCCCCCCCCCCCCATGGCACAGCTCCAGCTCCATCTCCGTGAAGATCCTCAAGGCCGACTGGCAAGGATCCATCGTATCCGGTGCGCCGCATGTGCTGATCATACCACTTTTTCTCTCCTCCCCCGCCCCCTTCCGGATTGTCTGAGTCCGCTCTCCCCCGGTCTTTTCTTTGGTTCCCCTTGAATGTGGCTCAATCGGCTGACCGCCCCCTGCAATGCATCTAGTCGTGCAATCCAAGTCACCGACACTTGTCGGCAAGTCCGGCATCGTTGTCCGGGAAACCGCCAAAACCTTCGAACTTGCCGAGCCCTACTATCCCGGTGGAACCGAGCTGCCGGGGGATACTTCGGCCTCCGGAGAGGGCGGTCTTCTGGCATCCGGCGAGCTGCCTTCCTACCGGCTGGTGCGTGTTCCCAAGCGCGGGGCGGTTTTTTCGATGACCGTCCCCGGGTCCGGCGCGTCTCGTGTTCTGCCCGGCACACCGCCGACCGACGGTAAATCGTCCGCCACCGGGCCCGAGGGTCGGCAGCCTCAGCCCGGGAGATCGGCCCCCGGGACAGGCTCCCCTCCGTTGGACCTCACGCCTGGCAGGGGCCTCTGGGAGGTGACCATCTACGGGGACCAGGTGTGTTGCCGAGCGGCCGAGCGGTCAACGCGCAAGTTCAAGGGCCAATCTTCCATCCGGCTGTAGGTGCCCTTGCCCAACGCGCTGGCTATTTTTCCTCGTGTCCCTATGTCTCTCTCTCCCCTCCTCCCCTGGTGTGGAAAGTCCAAATACAAAAACCATTCTCTCTCTCTCTCTCTCTCTGTTTCTCTCTCTGTTTCTCTCTCTGTTTCTCTCTCTGTTTCTCTCTCTGTTTCTCTCTCTCTTTCTCTCTCTCTTTCTCTCTCTCTTTCTCTCTCTCTTTCTCTCTCTCTTTCTCTCTCTCTTTCTCTCTCT